CAAACATAATATATACTGGCAGTACAGGTCTTCCCTATTAGCCATAATTATTTCAGCAAGAGAAAGCTACTGTATTGAGTATTTAAAGCTGCCTGTCTCCCTCATCCTACCATCATTGTCCTTTTTGAAGCCAACAAAAAGGGGGAAAGGGGTAGGTTCGGGGGAACCAAATCTACTGAATCTTTTTTCCCATCTGTCATTCCCACACTGAACCCAGCTGTCCAGTCAAGAGGGAGGCAGCTTTCAGACCACCCGTATGTCATGAGCTACTCAAGAGAGTCAGAGAAGTGCATTAATAACCAAGGAAACAATATATTTATTTACTCAAATCAAGATTTATGGCTGAGAGTGGGAGTAGGAAAGAGAACGGCGAGAAGAAACACAGCCCAAGAGAGAAAGTGCAGTGGTCCTGACTGTGAGGAGGTCAGGTTCCAACTCACAGCCTGGGCCCTGGGTAAACCAGCCTAACAATCAGCTAGAGTTTTGCACGGACAGCAAATTTTATAGTTAAGTCAGCCAGGAGGTTCTAGAACAGACAGATCTATAAATCCGCAACATTCCTAAATATTTGTGAAGGATTCTGAATAGCACACGCACAAATGTCTTATCAAATCGCCATTAATCTGAATCAGCTTGACCCATGAGCTGTCACCATCAGGAAAGAATTCAGGCAACTGGATGAAATAACTGATCATCACAGCCTGATGTGCAAATATGATAATAGAATCATTATATCAAAATATTTTTTACCTAAAGAAACAGAACTTCACAGATACAACTAAAGGCGCCCAACAAATACCTGCCCCTTGGGGTAACCAATGAACTCAGGTTCATTTCCATTATTTAGTTTGCTAGGAATGCAGACATCAATAATAGGTGTTTTTTTCCGTTATTCTAAAATCTAACATAAGTGGCACCATACTGTCTGTGGACTTCCACACAATGTTTCTAGGACTGCTTTAGATTAATGCATGTAGATCTAAGCTATTCCTTCTCCTTGAAAACCAGAGCTCTTGCACACTCCCGTGTCTAGCTAAGAGCTTTAAAACCCTAAGGTTAGGGGCACCCGGGTGGCTCAGTCAGTCAAGCGCCTGACTCTTGGTTTCAGCTCAGGTCATGATCTCGTGGTTTTGAGAGTTCCAGCCCCACATGGGGCTCTGCACTGTCAGTGCAGAACCTGTTGGGGATTCTCTCTCCCTCTCTCTGTCCCTCCCCAACTCACGCTGTCACTGTCTCCCTCAAAATAAACTTAATTTAAAAACTTTCCTTTAAATTAAAAAACAAAAACAAAAACACAAAAACCCTTAAGGGTAGCCATTCAGGAGTAGATGTGGACCCACCTCCCCACCGCCGCTGCTGTGCCAGACAGCACCCCCTCACCTTAGCACACCACTATAGCTTTAAATTTCCTTTCTGTCTGTGGGGCTTAACGATTTCCTTCGTATCTAGCTCTTCTGAGCGCTTAAAACTTGGAGTCATTTAAAAAAGAAAAAAAGCACGGGAGGGGGAGGGGAGCCTGAATCAGCCTGGCCCACTAAGTTCCTGGAACTGGAACAGAAGCCAGCAGAGCCTTCGAACAATTCTTGAGTTTTGTGACTCATCCACACTTTCCACTGTGCTGGGGTACTCACCAAATCACGACCGGGGACCACTCACCATTCATGCCTACGGGGAACTGGTCTTTCTACACAGCACGAGCCTGTGAAAACATCTGCCATATGGAACTGGAACTTCAGCTTGGTGACGCGGGGACGTCACACCCGCAACTGTCACTGCGGCTCAGTCTATGCTCAAGCATCCCTGCGTGTGTCTACTCCAAACACACGGAGCGTCACTGGTGGATTAGTGGGGCGTTTCTAGTGGTGAGATACGGGTAGGGTTGCCTCAGTCCTAATTCCTTGTGCGCCTTACTTCCACAGGCTGGTGGTTTGATGCGTGCGGTCCCTCCAACTTGAACGGAATGTACTACCCGCAGAGGCAGAACACAAATAAGTTCAGCGGCATTAAGTGGTACTACTGGAAAGGCTCAGGCTACTCGCTCAAGGCCACGACCATGATGATCCGACCCGCAGGTTTCTAAATGCCTGCACGCGCCTGAGGAGGGGCGGGCTGTGCGATTTTCAAAGACTTAATCCCGGAGCTCTCAAAGACTCATCCACATGCTGTCTCCTCTACCATCTCGAGACGGACAGCACGCGCTCGGTGCACAGGGGTCCACGGGCTCCGGCCCCGAGTCCCTCGCACCTCCTCGCTTAGACCCGCATCACTCGTGAACCCCAAGCACAACCCTGGTTATGGTGACCTGTTGGCACGCCTATGGGAAGATAGAGTGAGGCCTGCGAATTTAGGACTGACAATTCACAGACGCTGTTGTCACAACCAAGAATGTTGTGTCGAGTTCATCCGTAAATAACTGGAAAACAGAACTCTCACGCTACGCAGTACAGATAACCTTGGAACTGCGTCCTTCTAAGTACTGTTTATAGATTGTATAAATATCCATATGTCCCGAGTTCAGCATCACTACCATAATTAAAAGAAAGAAAAAAAATTCTCTAAGCCATTAAAATATATTATATATTCAGGGACATTCTGGGAAGTGCTTATTTGCAGCTTATTTGGACAAGGAAAAACAGCTAACGCATTGTTTGCTCCTCTTGGGTGCTTTAAACTTTCATTTTGAAAACAGCATATTTACATATGTGTGGACAGCACACTTTTAAGTTAATGTTCAGCTATATATTTCAAGTTTTAAAGATGAAACCTCCCAGATCTCTGAAATTAATAGAAATGTGTGTCCTTTCAGTTTATATGAAGATTGTACTATTTTTTTTTCTTTCTGGCTGTTAAATATGAAGGTATTTTTAGTAATTAAATATAACTTATTAGATAACTACATTGAACATTTATGATAATATTTTCAACTTTGTAATTTGATTCTGAAACAACTGACTGTGCCTCACAACAAGGAAAAATTTGATTTTTTAATGATGAAGATTATGCATTTAATTCCCTGACAAACAGATTTTACTATACTTTCCTCGCTACTCTATTACAGAGGTCTTTTTTTTTTTTCTCTTCCAGTCAGACGTATTTTAGAGAGGTAGGCTACAATTTAGTGTGTGGTTGAGAAAACCTTTCTATTTAAAGCACTTACGAGGCTATACTTCTCAAGCGAGTTTCACCCCTAAAGATATTTGCACTAGTAACATTTTATTAGTAAAAATAATTTGCATTAGTAACATTTTTTTTTTAATGTCGACCAGCAAACTTAAAAAAAAGTAACTGTTTTGGAGTGCAAAACAAAAATCTGACATTTAGAGTAGATTCAGATCTTTACAGAAAATTCTGAGAGCACGGATTTAAGGGCTGCAAAACTTTAAACCCCTCAAGTTTTAACTCCGTTTGAAGTTTTCATAGTCCAATTAACACTAATGTACATCGTGGAATGCTTTATAATTTGGAAGCAACTTCTCACATATTTGCCTCGGAGTCAGCTGCTGCTAGGAAGCTTAGAGCCAAATTCGAAACCAGCATTTACCTCATGTCTTTCTTCACCATACACTGTTCCACCATTCTGTTTTTACCTTTATTCCATTTTTCTTATGTAATTTATTTTACCCCATATGCCCCCACCCCAACTACATTTTAAAACACATGCTACATGTGTTGAGTCAATTTATGGACTCCAGAAGAGTCCAGCATGTCACATTTTCCACTGTCTCGCTGTACTTTATACACTTTACACTATTTCCCACACATACACTGAGTGAAGAACCTCCCCATCTTTGAACAGTTTGTCTTATTACATTTAAGTAGGCTTTATAAGTTCAACAGAGGTATCACAGCTTTGTATCAAGTTAAAAAAAATATCTGTTAATAGGATGATAGCTCCACTTCAAAAGAAACCCTAAGTTTCTGTGATTATCTCAAGGACCACATGGCAGACACTGAGGTGGGGAATGACATTACAGGAAAAATTGGCAACCACGTACTTGATTTATATCACGTGCCCATGCAGGCAGGTAAAATGCATTTCAAAGACAAGCCTCACTGTGTTGTTCAGAGTTACATATACTCTCTTATGACAAAGAGTAGGGGGGATTTGTGTCTTTACACTTCAGTTCCTTACACGGTATTTCAAACAGAGTCTTGCTGAGAGGAATTTCTTCTCTCCTTAAGAAAATATTTATAAAGTTGAGGATATCAAAACAATGATCTTAAAAATGAAAACAAAAGCAACCCAACACCCTAGAAAACTACAATGATGAGAAGGCAGAGTCCAACCTCCTATTATACGAGAGTCCTAGGCATACTCAAACAATGAACAATGCCAGCCCCAGTCACATATTAAAATCACCGTTCATCTTTCAGGTATTAGTCTTCCAAAAGATTAAACTCTGTCACAAACCAGTTAACTTTTTTGCAAATGAAAGCCAACATCTACACGATCCTGCTTCCAATTAAAAGTGAAATTACCTACTTAATTATCACTTAATCTTTTAAAAAATTAGAATCTCCATTAAGCATTTGAAATACTTATAATTTAAAATTCAGTGAAGTTGAAGTTGTGTTTAGGAAAAGCATCGGAAACAAAAGGACTGTATCATGTTGCTAGCTGGCCACAACTTTTATACCTATCACTTCTATCTCTATGAGCAGTAACAGCATTATTTTTTAAAGCAGTAAACAATATATCATACCACCTTCTCAAGAACCTAGTCCTTTTTCATTTTGTTTTTCTCAATTCTGAGGACTTTTATAATTAAAATTCTTTGAGATTTCATTCCTCACAATTTTTTGCAGAATGTTCTCACATTCCCACATTTGTTCTCACAAATAAATAGATTAAAAAAGTGTTAAGTTCTATGAAAATGTGTTTTTAATTGTGAGCATAATTGATCTCAATTTAATAAACATCTGAGTCTGTATTTATGCAAATAATAATTTCCTGAGAATACCAAATTGTATTCACCATAATAAAATAACATATGACTTACAGGAGCTGCGGGGAAGTAGTTAGAAAGTTCAAACGGCTCCTCGGAAATCCAATGACCCAGCTCCAAAGACCACAGTACCTACAAGTGACACAATAAGCACAACATTTATTATAGATTCATTAGGCTCTTGGTGGACAATAAACCACTTTGAAGATGTAGCCAAAACAAAACAAAAAGCCCAGCAGTGAATGTGCGCTCCATAGATCTGAACCAGATGTGTCTTAAACACCAAAGTGCCATCAGAATCTCCATGTTGCATCGATCTTATGAATAATAAATGCTTGTTTAAGAAAAAAGTCTCACCATGATTAGAAATCTGGGTTATTATCCTACGGAGGCCAAATACTAAACATTACCCCAATAACAAACATATGAATTACTTTTTTAGGAATTCCAAGTTTCCAATTTAAGGAGTCATTATAGGAAATCCTCAGTAAATATTCCAGGATTTTATTAATTAAAAAAAAAAAACATTTATTAGGAAAAGATAGGTCAGAAGCTTAAATTCAAAAAGCGACCCCTCTTGGCATGTGACTTTGTTTCTAACATGGATGAGTATTTTCCGAAGTTCTCCTAAAGCACTTGAAAATCCTTCCCAGACTCTGGAAGGATAAAATGTCTCATAAACAAGTTTTCATTATTATTAATATTTATTATTGTTATTTGAACCCACATATTTTAAATGATCAAAACAATGTTTTTGTTTTTAATTCAGTAATGTTCAAGATTCTGTAGTCTTCTCTACTTGATGAACCAATTCCCTGAAAATCTGTTACTATTTCTATGAACCAATAGAATTTTCTAACAAAAATAATCAAACTGAATTACCTATCCCACGTTTATTTTTTATCTGCAATTTTCATTTCTTACATTCAGTGAATTCACCCTTTTTACTAGAGTTGCTACATAAAGCTTAAGTTCTTTTTGCCAAATTACTGGGGATGAGGAGGGAGTCTTCCTGTTTGGTAGTTTCTAAGGTTCAGACCCATCTACGGGATATCGGTCTTAAATATTTTCTTTTCATAAAATAAAGCTAGTACTTTTCCAACGTGAGTCAGCAATATTTCATTTCCAAGAAAAAGTGAGCATGCTAGTGGAATAAAGACAATAACAAGATACAGAACCCGAATGATAATTCTGAACACTGGGCTGGATCTCACTTTAAACAGACACATTTATTTACGTAACAACTGCTTTCTTCGGCTCACTATCCATTCATCTGGGAACAACTGACTGAGAGCCTACTGTGAATCAGAACCCATGCTAGGTCCCGAAAACACAAATCCTGTCCCAGAGGAGTTCACTCTCTGGCAGGAGGCATGAAGGCAAACCACAAATGGTGGTTTCTCAAAACAGTTCTGTGGGAACCTATAGAAGGAGGCAAACTAACTCATTCTAGGAGAATCAAGGAAGGGTCCACGGATGAGGTGACATTTTAAACGGGGTCTTCATCAAGCAAAGAGAGACACAGTGGGAAGGGAGAGGACATTCCAGCACAGAGAGAAATTTCTCGTGCCACGGCAGGATTAAAGCGGGTTCTTTTTTTGGCTAAAGGGTGCTTTGGAAGAAGTGGTAAGAAAATAGAGTTGGACCCTGCTTCCATCCGTGTGCATGCAGGGGCATTTGCACATGGCGGAAGGACTGCTGGCTGGGAGAAGCCGGACACAATCATAAGAGGCAAGAGAAAGAGCTCTGACGGTGTTGGGCCCCAGATAACAGGATGGGAATGGAGTATAACGTGGGGAAATGTGTCTTCATTAGAGAGAGCAAGTAATGGGTTGTGTTCTCAGAGACTCTGCTCCACAAACACTTGGATCTGTGTATACACCAGCATTATGTCAGTTAAGTCTTTGTTTTCCCTTGATTTCTGTTGGCTAACCAACATAAATGTGTGTGTGTGTGTGTCTTCAGAAGATATGAGAAAAATGGTACGCTGAAATCATGTTTCTACCTGGCTCTTTAGAGGTGGCTAAAACATTGAATTAACACAGTGTTTACCTTACTTTCATCAGTCAGTGTATGGCATCGTTTATAGAGATACACTGACATGTGTGTCCTTCCCTACACATCTGAGATTAGCCCAGAAAATAACATGTAAAAAGTTTCAAGATCAGGGGCGCCTGGGTGGTTCAGTTGGTTAGGCATCTGACTTCAGCTCAGGTCATGATCCCACAATTCATGGGTCTGAGCCCCACTTTGGGCTCTGCACTGACAGTCAGAGCCTGAAGCCTGCTTCAGATTCTACATCTCCCTCTCTCTCTCTGCCCCTCCCCTGCTTGTTCTCTCACTCTCGCTCTCTTTCTCCAAAAATAAATAAACATTAAAAAACAGTTTCAAGATCAGGTTCATTTCAGACATGAGGCAATGTGAAAGAATTAGTATACTGAAAAGGTACCAGTGAGAGAGAATCCAAGGAACCAGTCTTAAAAATGCATGTGGCATTTGAGTTCAGATGTAGTCCACATTAAAATGTTAATTGAATTTAACCTCATAAAAGAAAATTTATGTTCTGAGTTTGTCCCTTTCTAAATGACATGAAAACAAAACCAGAAGGCATTTACAGAATTTTGGTAAGTGAATTAATAAATTTAATTTATGTAGGCATCCCAGGAATTAATATTGAACAGAGATAGCAGAAAACACTAATTTGATTGCAATGAAATCATTAAATCAGAAGTACAGTGCAAGCTTTTTGTTTCAGTTCTTTCATTAGCCAAACTTATCTTTACCTTAGTAGAATGTCCAATATTGGGAAAATCTACTTTGCAAGGTCACAGTTAAGGCTGTAAGTGAACTAAAAGGTGAACCCAACATTATTTCTCGTCATATATGAGATAGGATAAAAATAATTGAGAAGCTAAACTAAACTAAGAAATTGGGTTGCATAAACACAGAGGATCAAATCCCATGCTTAAAGCCCTTAAAACGAGGGCCGACTTATTTCAACATCCACTGCAAATGAATCTAATATTTTTACATTTTAGAACTGTCATTCATAAAACTTGAACCCTGTTGGTGAATTTAAATGGGAGGTGCTTTCTTGCTTTATTATTAGATTCCTAGCTACTGATGAGACAACTTTCCACAATGGAGGTGTGACCATGCAGATCATTCCACACCAGGCAAAACACAAATGGTCTTCTCTCATTTTACATAAATCTAATCATTCTATTTGAACAGTGCGAGTCGGTGGAGCTACGGTGAACCCAAGCCAGAAAATGGTATCGATAGTGAAAGCAAGTCAATCAGAGCATCATGTGCAAGGAAGACAATGAGGCCAGCTTAGGGTTCACACACAGCAAAGCGAGCACATCTTTACCTTCAAAATCTCCCAATATTCCACATAAAAGGATGGAATTAAAAATAGTGAGAAAAGAGTCCACAGCAGATAAAACAGGGTGATATCTTGGAAGCTGCAAAGCAGATACATAAATGACAAATGACTGAGAAGGACAAAGAAAGTTCGGACTTAAGTGTCTGGAAAAGGAGGTCAAGAGGAAGCACCAAAGTCCCTCCACACACTCCCTGAAAGGCAAAGAAACTGGTGGCAGTGGATGCCTCTGAAAATGGGGCGTCGAACAGGGTAAACAGGAGAAACCTCCTACCCCCTAGCCCACCCTCTGCTGGAACAACAGAAAAGCCAAGTCCCACAGGCTGTGTGAGAGCAGTGGTGGAAAGCATAGGGGAGACCTCTCCAGCCCTCCCCTCCCCCCCCCCCCCGCCCCCGTCCCTCCTCCCGGGGTGCCAGCACAGAACCCCGCAGGCAGGCGGGATGGCAGGACACCAGCCATGCTTTCCTGTACGCTAATCAACCCAGGGAAAAAAGACACAAATACTAACGCTCACACCTCAAACACCTCCATTCACATCTAATCGTCTATAAGCCACTCAGGCAGGCAGAGTTTCAATCAGCTTTTCAGTGCCTCATAACTGAACATGACTTTATACCCATTTGATGAAATCCTCTAGCTTGTAAACATGGACCAAACCAGGTAAGAATGGAATTTCTGGGATCACAGTGATGGAAGTCCCTGGATAATAGCAGCTCTATAGACGATAGAGAACCAGTCTCAAGGGGAAGAAGACAAAGGGGTTCATGGGTGGTGTTCCAAGAATAATAAATGAGACTAGAAGGTGAACTGGTGTATAGATGTATTTGAGAGAAGAATTATAATGCTTTTAGAAATTTTTGCAGGGAGTTGGTGACAGGTACATACAAAACTAAGCAATCAAAATGACTGTCAATGATTAGCTCGGGAAAACCAACAAACAAAAATTACCAGAAATGAATCATAGTACCTTACATGGTTCAGTTCAAAAAGCACCCATATACTCATTCGTGTGTGTGTGTGTGCGCGCGTCAATGTGTATTTACATGCAACATAAATGTTAAAAATCATAACCATATTGAGTACACTGGGGAACAGAAGAGTGGATAATACTAAAAGACAGCTATATAGGCATACTATGATCTTCCTCAGAAGGAAGTCAATGTCTCCAAGTAAATTTAAAAAAAACAAACAAAAAAACAACAACCAGCAAGAAAAGCATTTTATTTAGAAATATGTAGGCAAACTATCAGAAGGCTAATTTAGGAGTGAAAATCCAGGCTGGGAAACAGCAAGGCAGGCAGGGTAGGCCTTTTTTTTTTTTTTTTTTTTAATTATAAAGCCTCATAAATTATACTGGATGTTTAAAAACACTTAGGTTGGATCATTTTAGACTTACAGTACAGAGAGTTCTCATTTAACTACCACCTAGATTCTTCTATTGTGTGATCATCCAACTTAACTTTGCTCTTCTCTTTCAAAAGTGCTTTTGCAACTAGAACTGGCTTGTCAATATCTAAAAAAAAAAAAAAAAAAAAAAAAAAAAATCTTGGTGAGCCTGTAATTGGAACTGAGTTGAATCTATAGATCAAAATGGGGAGAACCAAAGAGAAAGACAAATTCCATCTAATTTCATTTATACGTGGAATCTAAAAATAAAAACAAAACAGAAACAGACTCCTGTATACAGAGAACAATCTAGTGGTTTGCCGGGGTGGGGGGAGGAGAGGAGTAAGGGGATGGGAAAAC